TTGATTAATCTTTCCAGATAGTGTTTTCTAACTACACTTCATGATGAAGTGCAATGACAGTTGAAGGACAACTCAATCCATCATGGGATTCAATGAATTTCGCTATTATAGCCTAAATATGTTCAAATTGTAAATACGCCAGCGTAACAAATGGATGCATTGAATGGCTTTCTTTCTCTTACTTCCATGTCAGAGCTACATCTATAGTAATATATATCTCTACCCTCAACCCAGGAATATTGTCTCAAGAAAAATAAATGGTGACTAACACCTAGTCCTAAATGGAATGTGTTCCAGATGGCATATTGAATTATACGTTTAGTCGCTCACCCCCATTGGAAAGATCTATTTCCTTGGATCATAAGATTGACTTTCCTCTTTGATGATCGACTTGTAGTTGTATGCCATGGTCATGGAAAAGTGTCCTTTACCTAGTTTAGGTATGTCCTTATCAAACTACAGGTCCTTTATTAAATCTCTCCAGATCTTCTTAACTTTTTTGAAACAGTTTTTCAGGCTAGCAAAACATCCCTCCACGTATTCAAACTGTTAAAAGAATTAATTAGTCTAGAGGCATCAGTACAAAGATATTCCATACAATAGTTTTGAAAGCGAGCCATAAATCTCTTCTTCCACCATGCTTCACCTCTAGAGAATGAAATCTGGTGAAAATATATCCAGTTATGAAAACAAAGCTCAAACACGATTGTAGATTTTCCTTGTATTCTACAACAAGAATACTAACTGAGTGACCTTACGAAGAAAAGAGATAAAAGTGGGCACAGATGTCACCTGATACAGAAACTCAGCATAATTTTTTAGAACCAAAGAGTTGCAAGGATTCTCCTCAACCATCCTCCTACAATACTCCTCAGCATTGCCACCCTCGTTGGCATCAGATGCAGCATGGTCTTCCACGTCAATATTAAGCTCAGATGGAAGCTGCAAGAGTTTAAAATCTTAGTTAGTGGCTAGGCTGTCAAGCTTAGTTGGAATTGCCTCCTCTCTAACCTTCGACAATTTCAAAACGATATTAGAACCATATGATAAAACATTCACAAATTTATGACCCAGAAGAGACACCTGGATGTATTCTGGTTGAGATGTATCCCCTTCCCCATCGTCTTCTATTTCCCAGAGAAAACTGGCATAAGCTGCAAGAACATCGCTGAAAATATGGAAAGGAAAGTTATGCTTATTCATCTCAATTAAAATACGGTTGCGATCATTCTCAAAGTGCATGCAGGATAATCATCTTGTGGCACTGCAGCTGAAAGAGCGTTTGCGCTTAAAATCATCAAATTGATGCCTGGGATGCTTTTCGCAACACCATATCAAAAGCACACAAATGCATCAATATGGTGCATTTTCAGCACAAAAGCACTTTGTAAAAGTACCTCCACCGCAAAAATAGACAGGGTGCTACTAAGGGTAATTAGATTTGCAACACTTTGCAAAGGAGCTAGATGAAAGCAAGTTCTTAGTCACCTGTTCTGAGGGGCTGCCTGAACTGCTCGTTCAAAGTTAACTAATGCTCTACCTTGATCATGGTTCAGCTCCCATTCCAGTTTCGCATACTGAATCAGAATTTCACTATCTGTAGGATCTGCCAGTGTGGCAAGATGATAATATTCCTCAGCTCCACGAAGCTCTCCCTTAGACTGTTAGAAAAGAGAAGCTTTACAATGAAAAACCGATCATTTTCTTTTGACCTCGACAAAATATAAATGTCCATTCTCAGAATGTTTTGAGAAATTACAATATTAAAGAACAACACTATCAACAGTAAGCCTGTTTGAACACCATTCTTACTTAAATGAGAACTTTTGTTGGAATGCTTCGTTTCCTTCATAAAAAATTAGATGGGCATTCTTACCGGTTAGAAGTATTTCAATATTTTATCGATTGTTCTGCCATGTAGCGAACAGACATCCAAAGATTTGCATAAAGCAAGAGTACAAAAAGTACCTGCAGCAGCAGGAATAATTGAAAAAATAGCAGCTAGCAACCCAAGCCAACCTTACAATTTACTCCAAAATTGACACAGAAGCACCAACAAGAAGACATTTACTTTAGACACTCAAACCTACTGAACATGACCGGACTTTATCATTAAATAATTGGATCTTGACAAAGATCTGAACATAGAAATAACAATCATTTTTAGGACCTGATTATTCAAAGTTTAGATCACATGTTCTAAAATAAGGAGGTCAAATAATAACCGAGAAGCTTCTCTGGTAAACACAACGACAATTGGTGATGAATCAACCACGGTAAGATTGATTAGATCATAATGCAGGTGTGAGTTATATCAAATAGGGATTTGAAGTGACAATTATTCAAGAGTAAAGTCAGAAAAGAAGAAAACACCAATCATACCTGCAAGAACCGAGCATAGTTTGATAGAAGCAAAGGGTGGCAGGGATACTCATCAATCATTTTCTTAAAGTACTCTTCCGCATCACCACCCTCGTCAAAGTTTGGAAAACTTAAATGAAAACCGCCGCCGCCGCCGCTATCACCACCGAAATCTATATCATCAATCCCAAGCCCTCCAGCAAGATACATGGAAGGACTAACCGGATCCTTTACTTCTTCATTATCAAAATTCTCAATCCCATCTGAACCTTGTTTCTGCTCCTCTCCTTCCTCTTCTATTAACCCCATGCTCTTCTTTCCAAAACTGAAATCCCCACTACCAATAGATTCTATATTTTCTCCGATAGTAATGGTTCTCATCAATTCCTCTTCTGTTCCCATATCTAGTCCACTTTGTTCTTCATCCTCTGGCCCTTCATTTTTGTTAAATACTGATAAAGAAGGTGAAGAAAGCAACATTCTCTTGTGATGTCTATATTGAAACTTGTTTGGTGTAGTAGTAGAGTTATGAAACTCTTCTTGATCACAAGATGTATAGACTAAATTTCCAAGTTGATATCCGACCAAGCCCTTCGAAAGCTGTCAAATCGCAAATTAACTACCCTTTTCTTGATTGAGTTCGGACAGTGGAGATGAGCTGCTGCCTGATAATGGTGTCAAGTTCAGGTGGGGCAAACCGTGACGGAATGATAGTTTGTGATCATGAAAGAACGGGTGGTGTTCGATGTGGTTGGTGTTAGTAGTTTCTAAGTCTCTATTAGGGCCGTCTGAGAAGGGTGCAAACAAGTGTCCAGTTGCTGAAGCTGAAGCGGTGAGCTCCTCAGAAGCATTTTTATTGGATCTTGTCTTATGCCGGCTCGAGATTCCTTTGACCTTGCACAAATTAACTACCGGTGAAAATTGTTCCTTACGTAAAGAGTTCTTTTTTACTTTTTTGATTGTTTCTTTTATTTCAAACTGTACAAGAAAAGATGACCATAAATATTGTCACGAGCGAGTAATATTTCTTTTCATGTTGGTCTCTTCTCTCTTGAGTTGTAGAATAGCAAGATGACCGTGAGTGTTTTCTAGACCAGTAAATGAGTCCATGGATGTTAGGTGATCTTGAGGCCATTCCCTTCTCAAAAGCCAGTTCATGAAAAGAGGTTTTCGCTAACACTTGCAAAGTCTCTACCGGTACGGGATAACTCCAACGATCTCCTTTCCACACATCTTGCCCGGGATCGGAGCCGAAAAAATTCAATTTAGTCCTAGTTATAGGGTTTAGACTTGTTAACAGACCTGAGCTCCGATACCCGTTGTTCATATATGGTCATTAACATATTTACCTCCGAAAAACTAGCTCATAAGATAAGGTTTTCCCTTGTTAACTCTCTACTAATCTTTCCCATAACCGATATGGAATAGCTCGAACAAGAAAAGGTTGCTAGCAAGGCTTTACATGATAAATGACGAGGGTTTTCACGAGCATTGTGGAAGCCTCCACTGATCTAGGATCTAACCCACATTTAAGGCCACTTGGTTTAATTAAGTATGGCTCCCTTCATTTGTGCTTTTCTTAATTATTAGTATTTTATTAATTTTGATCTGACAGGAATTCAAAGATTTCTTTCCTTAAAACACTGCCTAAACTAATACAGGGGCAATTAACAATTCTTTTTATTAGGTGATAAATATTACAAAAGAATGAAGAAAATAAAAAAAAAATTATTAGACTAATAATAAAAATAAAAAATAAAAAATTAAATCATTATAAAAAAAATTATTAGACTAATAATAAAAAATAAAAATAAAAAATATTTTAAATCATTATTACAATTTCAAGCACACCCTCCAAGCACTAAATGACATGTCACGCATGCTGTTTGTTAAGTAATTGGACCAAGGGCTTCGACATTTTTCTTGGACCATTACCAATAGCCTAAGTTTATGAAGATCCACAGCCCAGCAGTATCACAAATGGCCTGAATCTGTTCTGGACATGAAATTCGAATCCAAGTAGATAATAATACAGATATTCTGGCACTTTCACTGTTCTGGACTTGGTCCATTTCTAGAACAGATTGCCCTGATGTAGTTTAGCACCGAGACAACTCAAATCCGTACGTGTTTCCTTTACAAGGATTGACTACAAATATGTTCTCTAATCATAGCCAGTCTAATTCTGATATTGACTCTGAACTAAAAAAAAAAAAAATGGAAACGAAAAGCCAATCTCCCCACCCCAACAGCTGGAAACTAGCCAGTCTTGTCTGACTCGAGGAAACCTATATGCAACACGACCGAGCTACCATATCCCCACCTGAAACCTTCTCTTTTCAAACCTGTGTTGTGGTGCTTAGGTCAGAAACGAAGAGCCAATTATTAACTGGCCATCCCATTTGTTTCGCAGGTTTTACAACCCACAGCCAATATAAGAGAGAGAAGGAAATAAAAATAAAAAATAAAAACACAGAGACAGGAAACCAGACCCTAATGCAACTTCCCAGAGCAGGTCTTGTCCGCTTAATGCCAGCCCTCCTTTTTTCGTCCTTTTCTTGGACGACACTGTGGAGGCTTTTTTAAATCTCCATTACAGTTTACAGCAACAACAATTGTTTTGATCATTGATCATTACAATGTCTCATATGATCCTGTCACCCTTTCAACTATTGGAACTCAATGTTATTTCTGCACAAGATCTCGTCAAGGTCTCGCGAAAGATGAAAACCTATGCAGTTGCATGGGTTCACCCTGACCGGAGACTTTCGACAAGAGTCACCTCTGAAGGATGCAACAATCCCACCTGGAATGACAAGTTTGTTTTCCGTGTTGATGACAGGTTCCTCCATGGTGACACCTCCGCTGTCATGATTGAAATCTACGCCCTTCATTGGTTCCGTGACATTCATATTGGCACCGTCCGTGTTATTGTTGGGAACCTGATTCCCCCGCCTCGTCCACACCATCACAACCAGTTTCAGCTTGGCATGCGCTTTGTTGCCCTCCAGGTCCGCCGGCCATCAGGACGCCCCCAGGGGATTCTCAACATTGGCGTGGCGCTTCTTGATAGCTCAATGCGAAGCATGCCATTGTATTCCCAGATAAGCGTATCCGCCGTTGGGTATCGTCAGCTTATGGGTGAAGAGGAGTTGAATCATCATAAAGATGATTCTGACGATAAAAGTAGTGGTATTCATTCCAATTCCTTCTTGCTTCCTTGGCTGCCGAAACCTGAATTAAGACGTACGAAGAGTGATTCCAGTTCCATGTTTGGGTCAATAGTGATGGCAAAAAGAAAAATGATAATGAAAGGGAAGGGTAGTTCCATGATTAGTGGCTCGGAAGTAGAGGAGAGGAACATGCTCAATAAAGGTAGATCAAAAGCTAGTTCCTTGACAAGCGGCTCGGAGTTTGTCAAGGAGGACGAAAATGGGGCATTTGGAAAAGCCTCTTTGACCTCTGAATCACTGACAAAAACAGATACCAAATCAACCGAATTGGATCATATTCTGAAACCCTCACCAAAATTTACGGGGTTGGATCTTGGTTCTCCATGCAGCAACAACTTCAGGTATGCAACTCCGAAAAAGGCAAATTTTGTGAGTAAGCCAGTTATTACCGAATCACAATTGGGGCCATCAGCATCTGAGGTGGCGGCAGTAATTGCAAGAAACAAACATCGTCGCTTGGAAGAGACAGAGAGCGAGATAATTGGCGAAATGAGCTTGGATGGAAGCATGGAGGCTCTTCAATCTAAACTGGAAAGATGGAGGACAGAGCTTCCTCCTGCTTTTGATGCCAGTAATATCTCAAGTTTTCCTACTAGTGGCACTTGTAAAGGAGGCCTTGTTAAACGACACAACCACAGGCACACGGATGATGATGGCACGTTTTCTTGCTTCGGTAGATTTTGCGGTTTAGAGTGTTCAATTGTATGTGGCGACCCTCCCAGGAAGAAAAAGACCAGGCAGGGGATTCGGAGCCATTCCATGGATCATTTGAGGTACACTGTTTAAATTTACCTGAGTGACTGATCGGATCATTTATTTTTTTTCGTGATTTGATAATCCGATCAGTTAAAAACAGCTCTTTGCTACAGAAATGACTGTTGTTGACTGTATATGTGAATCTCGTCACATTCCATTCCTGAAATTAGCAATGCTAGCTTTCAGATCATATTCTCTGCTGGCCAGGAATGTTTTCACTTTGCTTTGCCTGCGTAAAATTTGTATGTTGTTTCTGTTATCTGATATAAACTTTAATCACACCGCAACACTCTCCCTCTCTCTCTTGTTCTCCAAATTTCTTTTGCATTTTGTCAAATTTAAAGAGTTTCTGTTGTCTTCAGTATTAATCAAGAAGGCCTGTTTAAATAGTAAGGCCAGATGTTTCAGAATCCTCCTTGTTCCATTTGTGCCTGTCATTCTTGCCCAGGAGCCATGCTAAATATTACTACTCTGCATCATTCATGGTTCCCTGTACTTTTAAAATCATAAATCAGATACAGGAAATCAATAGAAAGTTAAGTAGGATGGAATCAGATTTCATCAATACAGGAAATCAGATTTCATCGTCTCTCTTAAATACACTTGTATTCAACAAAGAATGATAATTTTTGCTGGAAATAATTAAGGGAGAACAGGTAGGAAGGGAAGTATGGTGGAAGACAACACTCTTTCATATCATCCTATTCTTCAAAGATAGGAAGTTTCAAGGGCTATTTATACTCATTTAATATTTAAATTTAATTCTAACACGTTATTTTATTTTTGAAAATCTCATTACTTCTGAAATTTAAATTTGTTGTAGAATTATTAGACTAAACGTTTCTCGTTTCTCGTTGATAGCAAAAATTTTAATTTTTTCTTTTACTGTTTTTTTTTTACAACCACGCTGTTGTTGGTATATATTTTTTAATCTTTCATTTTCATCTTCAAAAAATTCTTTTTTTTTAATTAAAAATCAATATAAATCATATCTTATTGACAACCACGTTGTTGTTGGTATATATTTTTTAATCCTTCATTTTCATCTTCAAAAATTTCTTCTTTTTTTTTATTAAAAATCAATATAAATCATATCTTATTACATCATCTAATAATTTAAATTATTAAATTGTAATAATTCATTAATATAATATCAAAGCTTTGATGATTAAATGACCATAAATTTAAATCTCGTTATTTTTATTTATATAATAAATATTAAGCTTTAAATAATATAGATTTATACAAGTTTGAAGCTTAAACAATTTTTATTTGAGAGGATATATTAAAAAATAATATAAATTATATTTTAGAATATTATCTAACAACTTAAATTATTAAATTAAAATGATTTTTATCATGATTAGCTAATAAAATTTCACTGAAACAATTATATTTATCTTATTATTATTTATTTTTCTTGTTTCTTGTGTTCATCACAACTTTTTTCCTACCAAACACCTTTTTTTTTCGAGATTTAGCTCTTGAAGTAGCTATTTTATCTTGGCTCATTGATTATTTTTCATCTCTTTCTTTAGAAAAATCTCTCTTTTCTTCTTATTTGTTTGGTCTTCTTTACACCACTCTTTTTCTTGTGCAAGGGCAGCTTGCGGTTAGCCTCTTTTGGCTTCTTCCATGTCTTTTGATGCAAGGCATCAAATCAATTCTTATGGTGGGCTTCATAGCTTGCATGCATCGCTATTCTTTTTTTTTATCGCTTTTCCATCCACTCACTCTTGGTTCTATTGGTCGTTTACTTTCTTGATTTCTTCCTTTCTCCAACGTTCATGCTCTAACTAATCCTTCAAATGCCTCACAAGATTGAACTAGCTTTTTCAAGGACTTGAACTTTGACTTAGATTACAGTAGTTTCAGTGCATGTATTTGTACTAATCTATGAATAATTCAGATACATAATAAGATAACTTGATGAACAAAAGGACATTAAATTTAGAGTTCAAGAGTAATTCTGATATATCGTCTCTCTTAGAAACACTTGTATTCAACAGAGTAGGATAATTTTATCTATAAAAAACGGGCACCTTGCTAGCTATATATACGGGAAAGTAGATAGATTTTACTCGTAATACAGTTGATAATTAAGTTTGATGTTATTCATTGATTGATTTGTCTAGGCAAGTTCCTTTCTGATACTGTTTGATGTCAAAGCAGTCTGCAGTATCAGCTAGCAAAAAGTGTGCATCAGTGGATTCCATTTATGATAAGCTATGGAGTAGCACCATAAGGATTTTTCCATGAAGACGATAGTAACTATGCTATATCTTACAACATTTTGGAGGAATGAATATTTGCTGAAGTTTCCTTGTGAAGTAAATTTAAGTTAACGAAACTGGAAATGGGTGGGAACAAGAGAGGAGGGGGACTGATTTGAAACAATAATCTTATCACTTTGGCTAGCGATATAAAGGATAGAGAGAGGTCGAATTCAGATAAACATTCTCTCAATAGAAAGTTATTCCTTAAGAACCGTGGCAAAAAGGTTTTTTTCCCCTTAAATTATGCTTGGTTTGATCCGTTTCAACCTCATTAAAAGTATCAGGAAGGTGTTTTTGAGGTACACCCAAAAACAATTAGTCACTTAACTTTTATGAATGCACCGTTGACAAAACCATTTTAAAATTATTTTAAAAAATAGTTTTAATTAAAGTATAAACTAGTTTTAGTATATGTTTATTGTCGAATAAAACGATAAAATAAGTCACTTATGTCTTTTTTTTAGAAAATCTCAAATATCTTCCAACTATATATTTTTTTTTCAAGTCATCAATGCTACTTAGCTTTGTTAGAGAGATTAAAATTATAATTAACCAACTGATAAATTTAAATTTAATATGAAAAAAAATTTAAAAATTTTTAAAAATTATTTTCATGATTATCTAGGGATAAAGACTCGAAGATGATAACATGAAACAACGTTAGACGCACGTTCAAGCTAGGCATGCACCCCAGCACTCACCAACATGGACCATGTCCAAACTCAACTTGCTAAGGTTGATGTTGGGTATGCCCGCCAACACCTACATTGATTTAGGCTATCATGTCCAAGCTCAATATTTTTGGATTTAGATAGTAGGTCTAGAATCATTATTTAATGGACTTAGATATTTTGTCCAAGTCTAACACTTACTTGGAGATTTTTTTAAATTCTCATCTAAATCCTTTAATATTTTATATTAATTCAATATATATGTCTAACACTTACTTGGAGATTTTTTTAAATTCTCATCCAAATCCTTTAATATTTTATATTAATCCAATATATATTATTTTTAGTAGAATATAACTCGAAATATCACAAAAATAAAATTACATTTCAGCTCTTTCTTTTCATGATAGAATAAGGTTATAAATATATCATGAGTCCTTCAAATTTCATGTTTACAATATTTTTATTTTTAACATTTTTAGCATATAAATTTTCATAATCTATTTCTCTAAAATATTATTATATTTTTTCTCTAAAATAATATTTATTTAAGCATATAAGAGTTCTTGAGTTTTAAAAAAAAATCTTTTATAGATATCAACGATTGATTACCAATTATTTATTAAACTACTAAACATTTTGGCTCAAAAAATAAAATAAATTATTTGCACTAAGATATATATAAACTTTATTTCCAAGTTTCTAGGATATTTTGGAATGTTATAACAAACCGTTGTATGTCAAATTACTTTTTTTCTATCGCTTCATGCCAATTGTTTAAGCTTAATGGCCTTCCTCTCTAGCTATTGTTGTACACTTGCAGTCAAGACCTAAAGATGAAATAAAACAGTGGAATTAGGCGTTAATGTCAAAATTAAAAGGCATTGTTTTAGAGCTTATTTAACCGCTGTGAGTGCTGCATTATGTCTTAAGAATATTTAAATAAATTCATTCAATTAATATTTGATAATCTATTGGTATGTTATTTAGATCAAGTACATTACTATTGAGGATAGCATTTCAACATTTTTATTAAAAAAATAAAATAAATTATTTAAAAACAAAAAAAACAGTAAAAAAAAATAATATAAACCAAACAAACTGTTAGCATTGACTGAAAGAAAGGCTTCCCAGCTCTCCTAGACATTTTTTTAGGTATTGTTCAGGACTTGTGTTCTTGGTTTTTTGTTTGTTATAAGACATGTAAAATTATTGTAGTAATTTTTTTAAAAGTATTTTTTATTTAAAAATATATTAAAATATTTTTTATTTTTTAAAAATTATTTTTAATATTAGCATATCAAAATAATTTAAAAACATAAAATAATTTTAAAATTTATTCAATACTTGTTTGGAAGCAATATTAAACAAGAGCTACATCTTAATTAATTCACTAATATATCTTCCAGCCAAGGATGTCCATTTTAAGGTTATTAGCAGATAATATTTCTCTCTTTTTTTTTTTAACGATGAGGAATTAGGATCCATATTATTTTTTTACTATAATTCCCTTAATATAAAAACTCTTTTTTTTTTTTAACAATGAGGAATTAGGATCCATGTTTTTTTTTTACTATAATTCCCTTAATATAAAAAAATAAAAAATTTTGTTTAGTGTATATCAAGAAATATAACGATGAGATGAAATATTTAGTCGTTAAATTTAATTATAATTTATCGAATAGAGTTAACTTATTAATATTTTTATTTATATTTACTAATTTTCTGGTGATAATATATATTCACCCAGTTTATTTTTTTTATTGTTCTCTGTTAGATTATAACCCAAACATGAAAATGAATTCATTTACCATCCAAGCTAATAAGATTTCACAAACTTGTACCTAGGATCGAAAAGAAAGAAAACTTGGAGAGGATTTAAATTAAGTATGAGGTCTGTAGTTTTATATATATATTGATGTGAGGAGAGAGTTGGAAAAGCGAGTGAATGCACGAGAGAGAGAAGGTTTGGTTAAACTGTGAAAGAGAAGGAACGGCGGCCGGCAAAAAGAACCAGGTAGGGGAGGAGGGAGGGAGGAGGCGTGGGGAGAAAACAAAAGAAATTAAAATGATAGCAGTGGCCTCGAAAA